CTCCCCCAGGCTGGGCTTACACTGAGCTGTTGCCCCCCCCCCAAGCTCCGCCCTAGGTGCACTCCTTCCAAAAGACTCGTGGCCTGAATCCTAGCAGGCCCTGGGCCTGGCCTTCCAGTCCTCCACCCCCCGGGGGGTGGGGGGGGGCTTCAAAGCCCTCGTCTGAGCCTGTGCGACCGAACCAGTCCTGGCTTTCTCTGTCTTTGGCATGTTCACTCTCCCCACAGCAGAGTGCAGGATTCGGTGCCGCCCGCCCGCTGCAAGTCCGGGCAGACGCTGCAGCAGCAGTCCCAAGAGACTGGGGCGCTCGGGCAGACAGCTAAGTAGGGGAAAGGTGGAGGCTCAGGCCGCCAGATTTCTGGAGGGGCCACCATGGAAGCCCCTCCCTTTGGGCAACAGTACAGTGATTGGGGCCAGCCAGAGAATGCTTTCCATCCTGGTTTTAATTGGGGCCGAGGGAAGTGGGGAAGGAGAGGGGAAGAAAAAAGCGGTTTAGGTTTTCAGAGGAGGGCGAAGCAGCCTTGCGGGAAGGGAGAAGTTTGCAGGCAGACTAGGTGGGGCTGCAGTCAGCCCTACTGCACCCCCTCTGCCAACCTCAACCTCCCAGGGAAGGGGCACAGCTGCTCAGCAAGCTTCCCTCCTGCTCAGCACACAGGGTGGCAAGCATCTCATGCCCAGCCTCTGACCGCCTCCACCAGGCACGCTTCTGTCCCCTTTACTAACGCCACCGCAGATTTAAGTTAGCCTGGCACCAGGGGCATTCGCTCTGGGGAGAAGTGGGCCTTGGCCGATGGGGAAGGCACTGGCACGCATCCCTTTCTGCAGAGGCAGATCAGTCTATGTCTTGCTGAGCTTGGTAGTGGCTGGGAGGGAGACAAGGCAGGAAGGGAAAAGAGGGTACCAATTACACTGGGGTCCTGCCTATGCGCACTGGGGAGGTGGGGATACAACTCTGGCACAAGAGGTTCTGGCTTGTTTTATTGTCATTTAAAAACTTTTAAAAAATAAAACAAGGAAATGGGACCATTTGACAGTTCTGGGGACCTTGCTTTTGACTCTGGTCAGCTGGAAGCGCCACCTCAGCCACCCTGAGCCTGCAGGGTACACCTCCCTCTCAGGTTCCTTGCTGAGCGCTGTAGCACCCCAGGGTGAGAGAAAGGCACAGGCTGGGTACCCACTCCCCACTGTAACCTTAGGGAGAGCGGCTGAAATGTCTGCTCCGAGTGATCAAACCTGAAGGGAGGTGGGAGAGCACCTCCCACCCAGCCTCTCCCCTCCTAGCCACCCGGTCACTGGTGGGCCTCTGTCTTTCCTCAGGGTGGAGAGGGCTGAGGACAGGCACAGTGCTGCGGCCTCGGGCCCCCACAGGAACCCAAGTGCTGGGTGGGCGGCAGTGTGATCCAGCTGGAAACCCACAGGAACAGTGGGGCTGGGGGATGGCGCGGCGGCTTCTCAGGCTGGGCACAGTGAAGAGGAGGCACATCCTTCCTTCTGGGGCGCTCTGGGATGGGGAGAAGGTGTGTCCCTTGGGACCTCCCCATCCCTGTCAACCTCGATTCACCAGCGAGGGGAGGAGCAGTCCAAGCAGACGGAGGTGGCGGGGCCACAGATTCAGTCACTGTCAGAGCCCACTGCCGAGGACCCCTTCCGTTTCCGCTTGGTGGGCTTCGGTTTTGTGTCTTCCTCTTCCTGGAAGAGAGTAGGAGGGTGGGTGTGGGTGTGAGTGACTGGTCTGGGCAGCCCCTGGCCTCAGTGGCCCAGTGCTCCCTCATCTCCTCCCCCCCCCCCCAGCTCCCTCTGGCTGAGCCCCACACCGAGGCACTGCTGGAGCCCGACTCTTCCTCAGCATTGGGGGGCTGTGTGGCATTCTTCCGGCTTCTCGGGCTGGACAGCGCTGCTTTTCGGCGGCTCTTGGGTGGCTTGGTGGAAGAGTCCTCATACTCTTCAGCCAGAGAGAAAAGGTCACTAAATCTGAGAGACAGAAACATTCTCAGGGTACAGGGGCTGGCATCCTGGCCCTGGATCTGGTCCCAGCATCTTGCTGCACCACAACCACCCCCCACCCAGAGGCTCCCTCCCTGCCCTTACTTCATCTTGTGGGCTTCGTCACAGCTCGCCTGCACATGCTGCAGCGCCTGCAGGATCGGAGTCTGGCTGAAAACTGGAGGGCGGGCGGCACGGGGGAGAGCAGTTAGACGTGTGGAGCTGGCAGAGGCCCCAGGGGCGGTTTTCTCTACGTGCCCTCCTTCCTCCCCCAGCCTGCCGCGTACAGCTCTGCTTGGTGTTGGTCAGGTTGAGGCGCAGGTTGTCCAGGTGCTCCAGGATCTGCTCCAGGGTCAGCTGGGCCAGCTTGCTGCTGGAGCTCCTCAGACTGGGCGAGGGGAGGGCAGGCTGGGGGCGACGGAGCAGGCTCCAGGAGCCCCACCCCGCCCACCCCAAGTGACACAGGCCATGCCGAGGAGCAGAGTGTGTGGGGGTGGGGTGGGCGGACAGAGGGATGCCTGGAAGCAGGGACCCTGGCGCAGTGAGTACTAGGAGAGGAGAAGGGGCCACAGGGGTCCGGCATGCCCTGGGGCTTCAGGCCACTAGATGTCGCCCACAGACCGGGCTGAGCCATGCAGGCCCCTGCCTGGGCAGGCCTGGGGGAGGGTGGTGTGCCAGCGGTGTCCCACCTCTGCCTCTTGCGTGGGAGGCTGTTGTTCTTGATGAGCAGGGACTTGATGTGCTCGGCCAGGAGCTCGTCGTGCTTCAGGCACCAGTGCCGCAGGATGCTGGTGGTGAACTGGTCGTCCGGGTGGCAGGGCCGGCTCAGCACCATCTTTACCATCTCCTCGCTGGGCCTGGGGTGGCGGCGGGCAGGTGGGTGGGCGGGCGGGGCGGCCACCCAACACAGCTGCCCTGCACTCTCCCTACCTGCCCACCCCGAGTCCTCCTTCCTCTTCATGTGAGTCTGGGGATTACGGGCCGGGAATGGAAGGAGGTCCTTCTGTCCTGTCCTCCACCAGCCACCCTCGCGGGGAGCCTGGCCCAGGGATATATAGATGTGTGCGTGAGAGAGACAGTGAGAGATATGAGCCGAATGCTGGCTGTAGGAGCATGGGGGGTGGGGGTGGGGAGCAGCAGCAGGCAGCAGTGATTAGAAGCGCTGGGGCAGCAGGAAACAGGGATGTCCGGTCCCCACCTCTGAGGGCAGCTCCTGGTGGGCAGGGGTAAAGTCAGAGGAAGGCAGGTCCCCAGGGAGCTGTGCATTGGGAAGTGGCTTTGGGGGAAGGGCAGAGCAAGCAGCTGCTGAAGACAGGAAAAAACAGGGCCTGGGGAGCAGACTGTCCTTTCCCCACTGCCCGGCTGGGGGCCCTGGGGCGGGCTAGAGCCCCAGCGAGACTCACTTCTCTCTGCGGAGCTGCAGCAGCAGGCAGGACAGGGCCTCCGGATGCTCTGTGTGCAGAGGGGAGAGGCCAAGGCTGCTCAGGCCAAGGACGCGACCCCAGGACACTGCTCCCCCCAACCGCACCCCCCAACAGATGCAACTAGACACCTTCCAAGAAGAGTCATCAAAGTCCTGGCCCTCGGGGGGTGGGGGGGGGAGTGTGAGGCTGCAGTGGGAGTGGGCTCCTCCAGCAGCCCCCTACCCCGCACCCAGAGCCCGACTCACCCTTGTACTTGAGGTGCTGCAGGATGGGAATTATGGTCTCCAGAGGGATGTTGTGGGCCAGGAAAAGCTGCCAGGCACAGTACTGCTCAAAGGTCTCCCAGTCCAGGCTCTGGACTACAAACAGCACCCGAGAAACGCTGTCTGTCTGTCTGTCTGGGGCTGACCCACTGACCACTAGCACCCCAAGCAGGGATGGGCTAGTGACACCTCCCCACTCACCCCCATGGGTCCCCTGCCTTTCCACACTGCTGTGTTCTCGCCCCTGCTAAAGCTGCCTACTCTATAGAGCAGGGCTCAGTCAGAGGGCATGGTGCAGGGTGGTCGATGTACCCACACCTCGGCTCAGTGCAGGTTTCCCGATGCTGGGAACCACCCTGCTGCCTCCCGGCCCCGCCCCCCCGCGCCCGCCCCCAGCTCCTCTCCTCCCCAGGTAGTCAGTCCCGGGCTTACTGAGGATGTTGAGAACGGAGTCTTTTCGGAACATGACCAGGTTCCCCATCATCACGTGGCAGACTAGCTCCTGGAGCTGAGGGGAGGGAGGGAGGTCGGATCCATGAGTTCTAGGCGGACACGGAGCTAGGACTGCAGCAGCAGCACAGGGCTCCACTGGTGAGGAAAGACTGATGTGGAGGAAGCCCCACCTGGCCGCCTTGGTTGGGGCCTGGGACCCACACTAGACAGTGCCCGAGGGGTGCCTACCAGGAATGGCTCTAAGCAGAGCTGCACCCTTTTGGGTCCCTGGGTGTGGCAGCCGAAGCTACGGCCTCACTCACTGACAGCGAAGGGGCAAAAACCGAGCCCTTCTGATCTCATGGAGGCAGGAGTTCCGGAGATGACAGGCAGCAAGGGGACTCTAGACAGCACCCCAACGTGCCTCTGTGGACCCCACTTTCCCCTGGCTTCCCCAGCCTGACTGCGTGCAGCGAGCCCGCAGGCCCAGGCAAGCGGCTCTCCGTCCTGGTTCACCTGCGCAGAATCGATCACGGCCACGATCATGTTCAGCAGTTCCCCGCTCCGCAAGGTCTCATCGGGAAACTAGGTGGGAGAAGAGAGGGCTTCAGGACCCGAGTCCAGGACCCACCCCTCCTTTCCCACTGTGCAGATGAGGGGCTGAGCCATGAGCCCCACGTGGCTACTGGTGTGAGCACGTGGGCGGGGGAGGGGGGTGAGATTGGATTAGAGAAAGCCAGAGCTGAGGGGGTCTGGCCAGCGAAAAGAGTCCCCCTACATGGACCCCCCTAAGCCTGGAGGACGAGGAGCTGGGCATGAGGGTGCACATGGCAGGCACTGGGGAGGGAGGGGAGAGACTGCCATCTGAGTGGCATCTGGACCCCTCCTCCTCCTGGTTCCTGGCTGCGAGCACAGCTCCTCGTGTGGGCCTGGGCTCTGATTTCTCTGTTTTGGGGACTTTCATGAGGAGGAGGGAGAGCCGGTCCCCCTTCCTCAGCCCCAGCGAGGAGCCAGGGGAAACAAAAGTGCACCTTCACTCCAGAGGCCCTGTTCCCTGAGAATCATGGGGGAAGCCCAGGGCAGGCCATCAGAAGGCAGGAGGGCTGTGATCATTGCGAGCCTGTGGGGGACCTGTCCTGGGTTCACATGATGGGGTCCAAGCTGAAAAGCCAAGTGCATAGCCCTGGGCCTCAACTCCCTCCACCACCTAGAGGATTCCAGATACAGGCCAGACCCACCAAGGACAGGTGTCCTGGGGGTGACCGACAACCCTCCATCCCACAGGGGACACCATGGAAGGCCAGGGACCAGGCAGAGTCGGGCGCGAGGGCTATGGGGGACTCAGACCTGCCACGAGGGGGATCATTTTCTGGGAGCCCCTTCCTGCCCAGCTGACCTCTGTGTAGATGGAGGGTGTGAGGTGGCACAGCAGCCGCACGTCATCTTCCTGGCAGGCCTTCATGTCCATCATCAGGCAGGTGTGCAGGTCACCCAGCTGGGTGGCCTGGGCAAACGACTCGTACAGGTTCATCTTTCCTGCTGCGGCTTTGCTGCAACACCAGGGACTCGGTTCCATGGCCTAGCCCCAGCCCGAACCCCCAGCCCTCCGCAGAGGATCCTGGCTTAATGAAGGCTCCCACTCTCCAACCCCTTCTCCTGCCCTCAGATGAAGGCTAAGCCGTCTCCTGTCCCGCTTGTGCCTGGCCCAGGGGCTGGCCGACGTAACAGGAACTGGAGGGGAGGACCCAGGTCAGGCTTGATAACGAGCTGCTTTCCTCCACATTGCCCTGCTTTCTGAGCTCTGAATACGAGGGCCAGAAAACAGGTACATCCCTACCTCACATCAGACACAAAACTTAACCCACAAGTTTGCAGGCATAAATGTAGGCACTATAAAATTCCCAGACGTAAGTCTAGGAGTAAACTTTCACGGCCATGGGTTAAGATGATTTTTTTGGATAAGATATCTAAATTGACCAAAAAATGATAACTGGGACTTTGGACTTCATTAGAATGGAAAGCTTCTGTAAGGTTAGGAGAGGAGGAGGAGGAAAGGAAACAGGGTGATGCCAGCACACTGTGGGGACCACAATCAGGGGAACAAGATGGGCATGAACTGTTGAGTGGAGCTGACGGGCTCTGTAAATCTTCACCCAAATCACGATAAAAAGTTTTTAAAAAAATTAAAAGCTTTTAAGTCTCAAAGAACTCCGTATCAAGAAAGTAAAAAAGTGGACAGAACAGAAGAAAATATTTACAAAGCACGATCGATAAGGGACTTGTATCCAAAATACACAAAGAAACCATAAAACTTAGCAATGAGTCAAATAACCCAATTATAAGTGGGAAAGGATTTGAAGAGACACTGCTCCAAAGTGGGTCCCTAACAGCCACCATCACTAGCCAACAAACTCCACAAGAACCTTCGGGTTGCTGGTGCTGCTCAGGAAGCCTACAGACACTGGTGATGCTCAAGACAGTGGAAACACAGTGCACACAGAAGTCTGTACACGAGTGTCCGCAGCAGTGTTCACACAGGCAACAGCAGGAACAGTGCTAAGTCCCCCAACTGAAGCATGGATAATCTAACGCGACCCAGTGATTTCAGAGCGTAATGCTTGGTCATGAAAAAAGAATGAAGGTACTACTACATGCTACAACGTGAATGAACCTTTATACTTGAATGTTATACTTGTATTATACTTGTATTAAGTGTAAGATGTGAGGACGGGGCTTTCTGCTAGTTACAGTCTCGAAACTCACAGGGGCAGTTCTGCCCTGTCCCGTGGGGGTCACCCTGAGCCAGCAGCGACCCCTGGCAGTGAGCTTTTGAGCTTGAGTGAAAGACGTCCGTCACCACAGCTACTGCAGGACATGAAATGTCAAGACGAGGTAAATCCATGCAGGCAGAGTGGATGAGAGAACGGAGCGGCTGCTGACGGGCACAGGGAGGCTTTCTGGGTGACACAGATGTTCTGATTTTGGCAGTGGCCTCAGGTGTACAACTCTGTGAACGTTCCAAACACCACTGAGTTCTACACTTTAAGAGTAACTTCTTTGTCTATAACACTACTATTTTAAAAATAAAAACAGAACAAAACAGAAGTTCTTAGTAAATAGCCACGTGTAGGGGCGTTGTGGTACTGGAGGGGAGAGGCCCTCTGGGGTGCCTCCTGACACTTGTTCCACCTAAGGACCACACCCACCTGGCCCTCAGGTAGTAGAGCAGGTGGTAGCCAATCTTGGGCTGCTTTTGATACAGCTCAGAGAGAAGGTCTAGAAGCAGGGAGAAGCTGCTGTTGTCCTCCTGCATCTGGCACAGGTTCCTGTGGGGAGAGGAGGAGAGCGGTGCCCACGGCAGACTTGGCTTTGGAGCCTGAGTCCAGGACATGCCTGCTGGCTGGATGGGGAGGCTGTGCCCCACAGCGGGGGCTGCAAGGCGTGCGTGCGCGTGCACGCGCGCGGCCAGAGAGAGAGAGCAGCAGGCCTGAATACGTACCTAAATATCAGATAGAGAGGCTTCCCCACAGATTCCTCCAGGGACCTACAAGAGGAGGGTTCTCTATCAGAGCACATGTGGGGCAGGTGGGATGGAGGGGCAGCTGCTCCTTTCCCCACTAAGCCCAGCGCCCTGCAGCTACAGAGGCTTGGGAACAAAGAAAACGCCGGACCACCTCTGATGCTGTCGTCATCACAGAGAATCTGGCCCTTTGGTGAGAGTCCAGGCCAGAGTCCAATCCCACCGGGCTCATCCAGGAGGGGGACACTAGCCCGCTGTCCCCGTGCACACAGCATGCAGCGGTGCCGGCGGCAAGGAGAACCCCTTGCTACCTGCATCAGTGCACTCAAGAGTAAGAACACCAGGGGAAACTGCTCTCAAGTGTGCAGCAGGCCCAGTGCACGAGGTGCTGGGCGGGAGAAGGAGCCTTACTCTTCCGTGACCTCCTCCGGCAGCACCTCCCCGCGGAAATGGGCCTTGAACAGCTCCTGCAGGCAGGACGCCAGCACAGAGAGCTGCTCCGAGTCAAAGTCTTCCTGGGGGAGAGACAAGGGCGGGGCGGGGGCAGCACTTAGACCTGAGCCCACTGCCTCCACCCCAGAAGGGACCCTTGGGGAGGAGTGGGTTGTTTGCTCCCCAAGGGCCTGGGCTCCGCCTCACCTCCAGAACCTGGTCCACGATTTCCTGCATGACCTCACACTGGGCCTCCGTGTCACTGCAGTACGTGAGGAGGAGGAAATCCCGGCCGCAAATGACAGTGGAGGGCAGCACGCACACAGAACAGCATGCACAGGCACGGCCGCAGCCCAGGGCAGAACAAAGGAGCTCGGTGAGAGCCGGGCCCAATCGGACCAGCTGAGAGGCCCCAGAAAGAGGAACCCCTCTCCAACCCTGGTTGCAGGGAGACCCAGGGTTGGCCAGGCTGGCCCTCCCACTCCCAGCCAGGGCTGCCCCAGCCAGCACTGCTCCAGCCCACAGTGGCAGGGCACAGCGCAGGCCTGCACCCACCTCCCCTTCTGCAGTTGGAGCACTTTGTCCCTTAGGGACTCGTCCAACTGGTCCAGGTAAGGGGTGATGTCCACGGGCTCTTCCACGACCGTCTCCTTGATGGGGTGGAAGCGAAACTCTCTCTTCTTTCCTGAAGGGAGGGGTTGAGGTGCTGAGTCACAGAGAAGGAACGAGCCCTCCCACTGCACAAGCCCTCGGGGGCACTTGTTTGCTTGGGGTGACCGATGTGAGGGCCGGAAGGGGCACAGGCCCAGCTCTGAGGAGCAGAGGCAGGAACCTCTGCTCAAAGTTTCAACGTGCAGGATGAGGGGGATGGGACTGCGGGGCGGTGGTTCCTGGGGCCAAGCTGTCCCTTTGCTGCGGGCGCACCTTTACTGCTGAGGTCCTCGTCGTCGTCACTGAAGGCGGCCTCCGCGTTATCATAGCCACTCTCGTCCTTGTCTGACATGTGGGTGTCCATCTCCATGGACACTGGCTCCTCAATTTTGACTGGGGAAAAAGGGAGACACGGCACTGTCAGGGCCTCCTGTGTCCGCTCGTGCTTGCTCCTGGAGCCCAAACGGGACTGCTGACCTCGAGAGGAGGCCGCTCCCACCCTCACGACCCCCAGCCTGGCAGGGCATTTGCCTGGGACAAGAACAGCACAGGCCACCACTCTTCCAGGCTCCACTCAGAACCCGTGGAGAGAACACAGCCAGTGGCAGTCCCAAAGGGCACTTGAACTTCAAACCAAGTAAAGAACTCCATTTAGCTTAAACTCTTACCCCCAAACAAAAGTGTGAGGTGGCGGCGGTGGGGGGACGGACATGGATAGGCAGGTGAGTAGCAGCCTGTTTGGAAGTGGGAGCAAGCTTTGAGACCTGACCCACCTTGAGCAACAGCCTCTCCTTCTCCTTTAAGGAGAGAGAGAAAGGGGCAAAGTGCAGGTGGGATAAGCACACAGCCTGTGGACACCGTCTCCCTCCTGAGAAGGTGATGGACAGGGAGGACCGGGGATGCACAGAGGAGCAAGTGGACACTGGACACAACCAGAGGGGACCAAGGGCACAGAGGGGGCCAAGGGCACAGAGGGGGCCAAGGGCAGAGAGAGGGCCAAGGGCACAGAGGGGGCCAAGGGCAGAGAGAGGACCAAGGGCAGAGAGGGGCCAAGGGCACAGAGGGCCAAGGGCACAGAGGGGCCAAGGACAGAGAGAGGACCAAGGGCAGAGAGGGGCCAAGGGCACAGAGGGCCAAGGGCAGAGAGAGGGCAAAATGCACACAGGTTCTGCTGGAGGCCCTGCCTGGGAGGCCCTGACACCTCCACCCCCGTCTCTCATACCTTCCACAGGGGGGGAGGGTGAACTGCAGAACTCAGGAAACTTCTCTCTCAGCATTGCCCGCAGCTCCTTATCCAACTTAGGGTTATCAAACAGGGGCGCCAGATGCCTGATGGGGAACACAGATGAAAGTCAGCATCAGGGCCCAGCACCCCCAACTCAGCTCTCAGGGACCAAGAGCGGTGGGGGCCCAGCCTCGGGTGCGGGCGGCCGGGGTCAAGAAGGCCCTAGGAGCATCTGAAGCTCTTTGCAGCAGTCATGGCGGACACAGGCCTAACAGTCTGGGGGCCGTGCTTTCTGTCCCTCTGGAGAGAAGGTTGCAGTGGTGTGACAACATTGGGACAGGCCGGCCCGCAGGGGGCTGGATCTAATGGGAAAACCACGCCCCTTCTCCAGCACCCCCCTCACCACCACC